CTTGCAGCATCCTCTTTCAAGAATCTACTAAGAGTATCATTAGCAAGTGCAGTGTCCCGTACCGCACGAGCAGTTTTAGCAGTTTCCTTCCTTGAATGAACAAAAATAAGGACTTGATGCTTCCCTGCCACAGCCATTACCTTTTCGTAACAAATATCATTCATCAACTGGAACCTCTGCAGTGGCTTCTTCACTGTGATTCCAATATACTGTTGAGAGAGGGGGACAGGTCTGTAGCTATTGTCAAAATGGAACAGTCCTTTTTCAAGATTAACCCGCAGAAATAATGCCACATCTTCAAAATTAGGAAGTGTAGCTGACAGCCCTACCAATCGTATATGCTCTTTGGTGGTTTCAATTTGCCTAACAGTCCTAGCAACAATACTTTCAAGCACAGGTCCTCTATTATCATGAAGAAGATGAATTTCATCAATGATAAGAAGTTTCACCAGCTGTGTGTATGTACGATCCCCAGACTTTCTGGTAACAATATCCCATTTCTCAGGAGTTGTCACGATAATCTGAGTCTCCTCAATTTGTTGACGAGTCAGCGTCTGGTCTCCACTAAGCTCCCTCACAGTCACACCATATGCCTCCAAACGATGAGAAAGATTACCAACAACTTCAGCAACTAGAGCTTTCATAGGAGCCACATAGACAATCTTGTAGTTGCTGTGGTTAATTGAACCATCAGAATCCATATTCAAGGCAAGTTGCTGCAGTATGGTGAGCACAGCAACATTAGTTTTCCCTGCCCCAGTAGGAGCACACAGTAGGATGTTATCTGCTGAAAAAAGGGCAGTTTCATACACTTTGCTCTGCACCCTGTTCAACTGTTGCATCCCTTTGAAAGCTGGTTGTGCCCAGCCTGGCATCTCAGATATCTTTACAAGCCTCTCATTTGATTCCAATGGTTTTGACTTTAGTGCTGGCACATGAACTTCCTCATACCCCTTGCTATGATGCCTGTAAGAACCCACAGGAAGATCACATTTTTTATTTGCCATCAAAAGACCACCCTGCTCAAAAGCAAGACTGTCCAGATCAAGCATCTGGCGCTGACCCTTCAGCCAACCACCATCAGTATCTCTGTCAGCAAGACCCGTCCGATCCCTATCCCCATCTCCACCACTCTCATCCTTTAGTCGACGAGCCTCTTCTCTGATACTCTTCTCCAAGTTCTTCTGCCTTTCTTTTGCAGTTGCCCTGGTGGCATGCAACTGCTCAAGAATCGCAGCCAAATCCGGACCCAAGCTCATCATTTCCTCTTCAATCTTCTTCCTCTCCTCTTGGTCTTCAGCCCTAGCCAAGCGGGTGCACCACACAACCTTCAGCCGGTTCCGCAGCAGATATTTGATAAGGCTGAACTTATCGAACTGGAGATGCACCAATAGCTTGGTCTCAACCTCCCTGTCATCACCCTCAGCAAGAATCTTAAGCACCTCTTCAGCAAGCTTCTGGCACTGTTGTGGGTCAATTTGTTGATCATAAGCCTGGGAGATCTTCCTCTGAAGCCAATAAGCATCAATGTCCTGGACATTCAGACTCATCCCCTCATTAGCCTCATGCAAGTCATCGTCATCAATTCCACCACCCATCTGCATAGCCCCAGCACCATTTTCCACCCCGTCATCATCATCTTCCTCATCCTCCTGCACCATATCAAGATCACTCTCCTCCTCCTCATCTTCATTTTCTTCAAACTCAACTGCCACCCCCACGTCATCATCAAGACCCTCATCCCCATTCCCCATTGAACCCCCACCTCCATCACCACCATCTTGAAAATCAGTAATCAATTTCCCAATCGAAACAAGCTGATCAAAAACTTGACTTGGAATCGGATTCAACAACTTCTCAATGTCCTTCTTCTTATCCGGATTCTTAATAGCCTCATTCTTAAGCACAGCCAAAATCTCATCTGCAGCACCGCTAACAATATTAAGCGGCTGTCCACCCAACTGCTGCTGAATCAAACTCAGCATAGCCTCATAAGCGGCCCTAGTCTCCTTCGTTTTGGGCTGATAAACCCCTTCCTCCGTAACACTCAAAACGCTCTCCTCTCGTAGCCGACGCCTCTTACTTTGCCTAACAGGAACAGGTTCAGCAAGAGGATCGCGTTCTTTCTTCTTTTTCGACTTCTTAAGCTTCTCATCTAACTCCGGTGGTCTACCTTTATAAACACGGTCACCAAACGATCTAGGGTCAATTTTTCCCCAGAGAGATTCCGGCTCCCCGGTCGGCTCGTGAGTATCGCGTGGCCGTGAATCAGTTGTAAGAACTAAACTCGAATTAGCCCTATATTCGTACTGTTTGAATCGGGCGTGCGCCTCAGCACCGCCTCCTAAATGAGCCATTCGTCCGAACTCAAATCAAATTCCAGGAACCCTAAAACGAAGATTAATTTGAATAAATTCAGAAATCTTTAAAAAAAAAAAAGAACAAAAACCCTAATCAGGGTTTTAACAGTTGCAACAATGAAAGCAGATTAAAGAGAAAGAAGCACTTACAGAACGACGAAGTTTCGGGTGTTTTAGTTCCCCGCAAGATTCAAAGTTTCGGGTGTTTTATCTTCTCTGGGATGAAGTGTAAAAATATATAGAGAGAAATGGAAGGAAGGATATCGTAGTCCAACGGCCTTAAGGATGAGGCGGTTTTGGAAGGGTTTTATTGAATTGGGCCGATTGTTTATATATTACAGTAGCAGTTTTGGGTCAGGAGCTTAAGGCCCAATCTATTTCCCCCGAAAATTTACAAATAAATTTCAATTATAACAAAGAATTTAATTTATAGGAGCACCCTTTTTCTTACTTCCTATTAACCAAGATTTAATAGTAAAAAGTATTATCAAATGCACCAAATGGATATGAAGGGACACGTTCATAAAATCACTCAAGAAAAAATTAAATCAAAATAAAGCCTGAAAATATCCCTGCATTAATAAAAATAAATAAGTTATAACATATATTTGGTTTAGCTTAGTTTAGTTAAATAATAATTAATAATTTAACATTTTTCCCTGAATATTAGCTACAGCTTTTTTTTTTTTTTTTTGGATTTTCTAGCATCCAATACAATAGTAGATAGTTTTTTTTTTTTTTTTAAAGGTTATGTAATACAAACATTAGAGTAATAATCTTCAAGGAGAAATTCCAAAGGAAATAACAAATCTCTCAAACCTTTGGTACCTTGAATTTGTCGTGGAATCAATTAACAGAGAACATAACGGACAGGACAAGACAGGAAATCTGCAGAGTTTAGAAACTCATGACCAGACAGTCAGGCAACAATCTTTCTGGCACGATTCCTTCATGTATATCAGACATAACATCATTGAACCATTTGAACTGGTCAGGATCAATTCCATCAACCAAGCAGTTAGAAACACCTATTTATCAAGGCAACCCAAAACTTAAAGTACTATCTATGTATTTAATAATTTAATAACTAGTTTTTAAAAAGTCCATATTAAATTACCATAGTATTAAAACCAAAATAAAATTTCTTTTCACTTCTGGGAAGCAAATAATGCACAACACACATACTAATAATAGACCACTCAGTTTAGTTCTGCATTCCAAAAATTTCAGTTTTGAAACATTGGTTACAACAGTAAAAAAGGCATTCAAAATCCAGTCTACAAATGCAGCTGATTATCATGAGAGTTTGTTGTGGTAAAAGATGTACAAATTTGACTTGGGAGAAACTGCTCACGTTCTACAATCATTTGACAACAGGCAATACAAGACTAAACACCTTAATACACATGATGATATCGATTACTGAACTAAAAGCACAAGAAATTTTAGATTAAAAGATATACCATCTGGTTTAATGACTAGACCAAATGTTACCGGGCGAGCTGGATATAAAAAGTTATGTTGGTGTGGTGATTTTTCCAGCAGAACCTATCAATTAACAAATCGGACAGTAAAATAGGAGAGTTTCACTCTTTTGGTCGGACAAGCCAGAGGGAACTAAGAGCTCGTAATCTGGAGAAGTAATCATGTATTGCAAGAAGTGCACGAGCCAACTGTCGGGTTGTCAATATCCGATGCATTTGTTGTAGTGTTTGCTGCCTTAAATTGTCAGCCTGGTAATATTAACTTATTAGAAACAATTATTTGAAACACTAAGGAGAATGAGAAAAAAATAAAAGATAACTTAAAGCAACTAAGAAAGTTGTACATAGATATTAGTTTACATGAGTATTGAGTTTGATGAACAAATTATCCCAAATTTTTTTTTAATAAATGATTCAAAAAACTACCCCTCTACACTACTGGAATTGATGAGTTATATAAATTCCATGAACACAGAATTAAGGACAGGCTTTTAAATTGGAACATACACCAAAATTCTCCACAGATCAGTTTAAATTAACAAACATTTTGCAGTCTAGCAGAACTGCAGAACATTATATTAGCCTTTCTACAGAAAACTTCAAGTAACTCAACAAAATCTTCTGAATTTCATCTTCTAATGTCAGAAGTCAGCCAACACTAGTTAACCTAGTTACTAAGATCATAATTACCGGTTCAATGCATTCTCTAATAAGTTTCAAACAATAGAAAGAAAAAAATGAAAGAGAAAGAAAAAGGGAAAAAAAAAAAGCATTACCTGACGAATAAAACCCTCAAGGGTTCCTAGCTTCCCCATGGCCATGGCCATTTGACCCATGTAGTTTGCCACATTCCCAAATGATCCGGACGAGCCTAAAGATCCAGTGGACAATGTCTCAGCCAGAGACTGCTGCAATGCCTCCATACCTTGAGATAATGCATCTTCAGCCTGCTGGGAGGATTGCTGCAAGTTGCCAATTCCTACCAACTGTTGCTCAGTCAAAGGCCCCAATTGGTTTACAAGAAGCTGTAAGCATATACATTGAATTCTAAGATGATGAGCTATGAAGAAAACAAAATATTGGTTTAAGTAAAAGAAGGTTCTTTTGGGGGGGGGGGGGGGGGGGGAGGATATCAATTAATGACCCATTATAAACAGAATATACATGTATCAGATTTATGCATATACACCAGGAATTTCGAAAGCAGGAATTTTCAGACAATCTTAGATAAGGCTCCTCATATCCATAAGGTTCTCCAATCAGAACAAGTGATGTATAAAACTGCTAACAAGAGATGAATCCACTGCCAACTCTATTTTGCTGAATTTACTTTATTTTCAGGAGGAACCTGAGAATAAGGATAGAAGGAATCCTACCACCTTTTCATGTTTAAATTTGAATCATTTATTAAATTGCATCAACAGGAACTCAAGTTTTAATTGTTTGGTTATTGATACGATGAGATTTTACCAGTGTCATACTCCCCAGTATATTGAAAGATGAAATGAAATATGTTATGGTGTACAAACATACTACACAAATGCCTATAACATGCATATAGCAGTCAGATGACGAGAGAAAAGCTCCTCTATTCTAACCATACAAGGGCACGCTGTGGATGAGGAACAGTGTACCTATAGCTGCCCCAAACTAAAGGCACGGTGTCATTCACAACCTCATTCTCATTCACAGCCCACCTTGCCTAAAAATTCCCAACTAATTCTTTCCTTGCTCCCACCTACCAAAATCCATAGCGTCAACTCCACCTTGTGCATTTTTTCTTCTGTTCCTTTTTGCAAGGCAATTTCATATTTAGGGAAATTGTCTGTAGACAGCCAAAAGATTACTATTTTTACTAGGGTTAAGGTGAACTGACAAAAGAGAAAGCCAAGGTCTTTACAAGCTATCACACAAAACTGAGAATGAATATCCCTGAAATGGATTTAATAGGTAGCAAAAGGAGGAAAGACAAGAAAACAAATATCTTCACCTCTCCCTCTCCCCCTTCCTGTTACTCATAAATCCTAGTTATTTATTTGTATAATTTGTGATAAGTAAAAGTGATTTGATTTACCAAAAAAGATATAAATGAAAATTATAAAGGCTGTTTACAGCCTACTTAGGCACATGGCATTCAAGGAGGAAAGTAGGATCCTGTCAACAAAAGAAAAAAACAGACAGAAATAAACCAACTCCTCAGAACCAAAAGCAGGGGTGTTACATAGAGAAGCCAAAAAGTCAGTAATAACATGCTCTAATAATGCTGCAATAAAGAACTATAATTCATCGTTCTTTTTCTTCCATCAACATGATATTGAACAAAGTTTTCCACAAATTTTCTTCCCATTTTTCAAAAGTCCTACATCATAATCTTGATGTCCTAATAAGCAAAAGGTTGCATAATAATTTTTCTGCAAACTTAAACCTAGGATGGGATTCTTTTGAATATTCCTTGGCCATCCCCTAATAGAGACCTGATTGCTGAGTTGTCAGTGTTCTGACAGAACCTCGGACACTATATAAAAATCCATATAACAGTATGAGAAACAATCATACCCAGTAAACCAAAGGGAAAAGGGAAAGAACGGAAAAAATAGAGTTCATTACCACCACCTTCTTAAAAAGGTTAGCATTCTAATTAATTTTGCAAACAAATTCAGATGACCTCACCTTTAGTAGCTCAGATGACCGGAAGCCACCTAGCCACAAGAAACACCTCTCAGCAGGTGTTTTCCACATGCCTGACAACAAATGGAAAACATCTGCCTTAGCTGCATTGCTCTTCAGCCTGAAAACTTCATCATAGTGAGCCATTGCACTATCAACAATAATACGAAGTTCTGCATCACTTGCATGAGAATTTACTGCTGTTCTCAGCTCATTTATTTGTCGACTTTTCTCTTCCAGCCACCGTGCATATTCTACATCAAATGCCATGGCACCTGCAAAGAAAATAAATGACAAAAAGAATAGAGAAATTGATAAATACATGATTACATTGGAAATTTTAATCTCGCATGCTAGTTAGCATATAAACAAAAAAAAATTCAAGAGAATACCCTCAACGATCACACTCCAGGAATTTGAAATGCACATTTTCATAATACACAAGATCGTGCCGGTTGCTTGTGATGTAACAAAAGGGGGGGCAATAAGAAAGAGTGGCACCGGTGCAGCCTCCCTGCAAAGCATAGTAAGGCAGGATACATCTATATATTCCCAGACCAAAGCCTTGTGCAGTGGCCTGTACTTTTTTACTGTGGGAAAACACTTATTTACAGCTGGTTGTAATCTTGTAATCTGTATATTTATATTTGTATCTCTAGAATTAAGTATTTGTATCCCTAGAATTAAGGAAGATTTAGTTTCCTAGTTTAACCCCTAGTTAGTTGTATATAAACCTAAGATTCTTGTATAATTGTAGATAAGCAGTTTTTCAATATACATTCAGTTTCCACATGGTATCAGAGCTTTAGGCTCTTCTTGGGAAGAAAAATTTTTCAGCCTTCATTGCTGACTTTTTTAGGCCTTCATTGCCGACTTTTTTAGGCTTTCATTGCCGAATCCTGTTTAGGCCTTCATTGCCGAACCCTTTCAAAGAAAGATATCACTATCATCCAATTTTAGGAAATGTTAACTGAGAAAATCACTGGAGTACTACAGATGTCTCAGAAACAAGGAGAGTTTAACAGGGAAGAGATTGAAAAGCTGAGAAACTTATTGAAAATCCTTGAAAAGCCTACTATGGTATGTTCTTTGGGTAAAGTTTCTAGTTCAGGTAAAGCTTCCGATTCTCATGGATTAAATGTCTCGGCTAAGCCTATTACAAGTTCTTGGCTCATTGACTCAGGAGCCACAGACCACATGACACATTCCCCACAAAAGTTTAGTACATATAACCTGTGTCCTAGTAATAAGAAAATTGTTGTTGCTGATGGTTCACTCACCACAGTGGCAGGATTAGGAGATGTTCAAGTTAATCCCTCGTTTGTTCTCAAAAATGTTCTTCATGTTCCTGGATTGTCTACTAATCTGATATCTATACAAAAACTTACCAAAGATATGAATTGCAAAGTAACTTTTTATCCCTCTTATTGTGAATTTCAGGACCAAAGTTCGGGGAAGATGATTGGACTTGCTAAGGAGAAGGATGGACTATACTATCTTGAGACATCAAATAACACAAGTAGTATCAAAAATAGTTTACCTTTGTCATTTCTTTCTGAAAAATCTTCCAATAAAGACAAAATTTGGCTTTATCATTTTCGTCTTGGTCATCCTTCTTTTGGAACCTTGAGAAACATGTTTCCTTCTTTGTTCAAAGGATTAAATGTTGAAGATTTTCATTGTGATATTTGTGAATTTGCAAAACATAGACGTGTGTCTTTTCCAATCAGTAACAAAAGAAGTTCTACTCCCTTTTACTTGATTCATAGTGACATTTGAGGTCCCTCTAGAATTCCTAATATTTCTGGTACGAGATGGTTTGTTGCATTCATAGATGATTGTACTAGGGTCTCTTGGGTTTTTTTACTTAAATCCAAATCAGATGTGAATAGTGTGTTTTTAAGCTTCCAAAACATGATTCAAAATCAATTTGGAGTGAGAATCAAGAGATTTAGGTCTGATAATGCAAGAGACTACTTCAACCAGAGTCTATCCACCTATTTCCAAAAAGAGGGGATTATCCATGAGTCATCTTGTGTTAATACTCCACAGCAAAATGGAGTGGCAGAGAGGAAAAACAGTCATTTACTAGCCACAACCCGAGCCTTTCTTTTTCAAGAAATGTACCTAAATCTTATTGGGGGGAAGCTGTTCTCACTGCCACACACATTATAAATAGGTTACCTTCAAGAGTTTTGGGATTTAAAACTCCTATGGAACTACTCTCACAATTTTATCCCAACCTCTATACCACAAACAATCTCACACCTAAGATATTTGGTTGTACATCATTTGTTCATATTCACAGTCATAACAGGGAAAAATTGGATCCAAGAGCAATTAAGTGTATTTTTGTGGGGTATTCTTCAACTCAAAAAGGATATAAGTGCTATCATCCTCCTACCAAAAAATTCTATGTGTCTGCAGATGTCACTTTTGAAGAAAATAAATCATTTTTTACTCAACCTTATCTTCAGGGGGAGACTTCATTCATGGAAGATAAGGATAAAGACTTCTTTTTGCTTGATTTACCCCCTTCTTCAACATTTACACCCATTAATTCTTCTGAGTCGAAACATGTTTCTGCTGAGCCCAAGTCAAACACAGAATTTGAGTCTGAACCCATTCCAAATACGGAAAATGTGACAAAGGATAATATTGTTCTTGATTCTATGAAGGAATTACAGGTGTACTCAAGAAGGAAAGTTTCAGATCCTGAACCAGTGCCAGTCCAAGAACCTGATCCTAACTCTGGAAATGAGGTAACTACAGTTTTTGACTCTGTTTCTCAAAATGAGCATGAATCTCCTAAAACTATAACTAGTGATTATGATTTGCCTATTGCCATTAGGAAAGGAACCAGAGAATGTACCAAGCATCCACTATACCCAATATCTAATTTTGTGTCATTTGAAAAATTCTCACCATCCCACAAAAATTTTCTTGTGAGCCTAAACACTATTTCTGTTCCAACTACATTATCCGAGGCATTATCCGATGAGAAATGGAGGCAAGCCATGAAAATAGAAATGGGGGCCTTAGAGAAAAATCAGACATGGGAACTGTAGAGTTGCCTAAAGAAAAAAATTCAGTGGGGTGTAAATGGGTTTTCACGGTAAAATACAATGCAGATGGTACTGTTGAAAGGTATAAAGCCAGGTTAGTGGCTAAGGGCTACACTCAAACCTATGGAGTGGATTACCAGGAAACCTTTGCTCCAGTTGCCAAGATGAATACAGTTAGGATTTTGTTATCATTGGCTGCAAATTACAATTGGCAGCTTCAACAATTTGATGTAAAGAATGCTTTTCTACATGGTGATTTGGAAGAAGAAATATATATGAAGGTTCCACCGGGATTTGGAGGTCATCTAGAAGCAAACAAAGTATGCAGGCTAAAAAAGGCTTTATATGGCCTTAAACAGTCTCCTAGAGCTTGGTTCGAGAGATTTGCCAAAGTGATGCTAGCAATGGGATATAAACAGAGTCAAGGAGATCACACATTGTTTATCAAGCACTCTGATTCAGGGAGAGTCACAATTCTATTAGTGTATGTTGATGATATAATTGTAACTGGAGATGATGCAAAAGAGAGAGAATCTCTAAAACAGTGTTTGGCTAGAGAATTTGAGATAAAGGAGCTAGGGAGATTGAAGTACTTCCTAGGAATTGAAGTAGCTCACTCACGGCATGGTATTTTTATCTCACAACAGAAATATGTGATGGATCTTCTGAAGGAAACTGGGAAGCTTGCATGTAAACCTGCAAATACCCCTATAGATCCTAATCATAAAATTGGAGAAGCTAATGAAGATACTGCTGTAAATAGAGAGATGTACCAAAGATTAGTTGGAAGACTCATTTATCTCTCACATACTAGACTTGATATAGCATATGCTGTGAGTGTGGTAAGTCAATTTATGCATAATCCTAAAGAAGTGCACCTACAGGCTGTCTACCGTATATTGCACTATTTGAAGGCCAATCCTGGGAGAGGTATCTTATTCAAAAGAAATTCGGGGTTAGTTCTAGAAGCATATACAGATGCTGATTATGCAGGTTCAGTAACTGATAGAAGATCCACCTCAGGCTACCGTACTTTCTTTGGTGGTAATCTTATGACTTGGAGGAGTAAAAAACAGAATGTGATGGCAAGATCAAGTGCTGAAGTAGAGTTCAGAGCAATGGCTCAAAGAATTTGTGAACTACTATGGTTAAAGATTATCTTAGAAGACTTGAAGATCAAGTGGGATGGACCAATGAGACTCTACTGTGATAACAAGTCTGTAATAAGCATTGCACACAATCCTGTACAACATGACAGAACAAAACACATTGAAGTAGACCGGCATTTCATAAAGGAGAAACTAGACAGTGGGTTGATTTGTACACCTTATGTATCAACCAAGGGTCAACTTGCAGATGTGTTGACTAAAGGTCTCAGCAGTGCAACATTTCAAGGAATTATTTCCAAGCTGGGAATGGAAAACACCTATTCACCAGCTTGAGGGGGAGTGTGGGAAAACACTTATTTACAGCTGGTTGTAATCTTGTAATCTGTATATTTATATTTGTATCTCTAGAATTAAGTATTTGTATCCCTAGAATTAAGGAAGATTTAGTTTCCTAGTTTAACCCCTAGTTAGTTGTATATAAACCTAAGATTCTTGTATAATTGTAGATATGCAGTTTTTCAATATACATTCAGTTTCCACATTTACTAGCAGTGTTTTCTATGTCTAGTATCTGCTATCTAAATCAGATAAATTCAAGTTTATGTAATCTACAAAGAACTTATTTTAACTAGAAACTAAAGTGTTCAAGAGAAGGTGGGGGAAACACCAACTGAATACAACATGATGGAAACACATTTAAAAGGATTTTGACAGGTAAAGACTTATGAATGAACCTATTAATGTGAGATGCCGGAGAATGCTCATGCCAAAATGGGAAGCACAGAGCAAAAGAGACATCGGAGGAAACAATTATGAAAAGACTTTGCTCTTAAGGATCTTACTCAGGATATGGGCTTATTCATAGCAATATGGGGAAATTTTATCCATAAGGCCAACCTTATATAGTAGGAGAAGTCTTTGATCTTAGGTTTTTAATCATTCATTAAACATGTTGATAGCCAACACTAATGCAGGATTTTCTTACTTCAGTGATCTAACCATCTGACACAACATATTATTAATTCAATACCAGAAGACAGATTTAAGCAAAGCAAGAGCTATTTCCCTCGATTCTTTTTTTTTTTTTTTTGTCCACTGGATGGGGGATAGGGAATGGCGCTAGGTTCTTTTTTTCGCATAAGTAGTATTGTCCTCTTAACAAGTACATTATAATAATTTGCTAGTTAGCTATCATTTTAACTGACTGCATATAAGAAGCAGCTGATAAGGCAAGGTCACAGCTAATAAAGCAAGTTCCTACAAAATGAACACGGTCATATGAATCCTATCGTTTAGATTTTAGCATAAATTGGCCATTCACAAGACCTAGACTCCTACTCTTGCGCACAAATCATTTCTGTTCAAGCCAGATAGCTAGGCATGTCTTGCTTCAATAAACCACTCCAACAAATAAGACTCATACTACAATAACTAGATGAAGAAAAGTTTACCAAGAACTTGCTTCATGAAAAAGAATTATTACCATTTCCACCCATTGCATGGCTTGGATCTCCTGAGCTTGATATGAAGATACCCTGAAGGGAATGGCAATGTTTTAAGTAATACATACTTGAATAAATAACAATACATAGTGCATGTAGTGACGAAGGACCAAGTCTAACCTGTTGACGTGCCCGCTGGAGCTCCTGCTCTATTTGTGTCAACTTCAAACGACTACTCTCCAGCTGTTGCACATATGCCTGTGGAAGAACAAAGGATGATGTGCCTCACTATAGGAGATTAAATTTGACATTCATTCAAAACAACGCATGCCAGAAGAGCTCAAACAAGAAGATATACATGCAAAAGCATCTTATACAGCAAAACCATCAAATTAAACATTTTGATGAACATAAACCTCAATCACTGAATCTCAAACAATAAGGAGAGTTTCAAAGCATGAGAATTTGAGAGCATAAAGACTCCAATGGTCAACAGTGAAGAAAAATTGAAACAATCATGAGAATTTGAAGGCATAAAGTATGCAATGGTTAAAAGTCATCTTTTCATCATTTTTGTACTTTAGCCGCAAAAAGGGAGCATGCATGGCTCTAGTAAAAGAGCATGAAAATAGCTACACTCATAATCAAAATGGTACTCTAACATGTTATCAAGATGAAAACAAGGACATGCAAATGCATACACCAACAAAAATTTACATATAACAACTAGAGTAGATTCTACTATAGTCACATTTTTTCAGCAACTATAAAAAATTTTAAGGCAATCTTTGATATCTAGTTCTCTCTTCTAAGGTCAAATATTTTAGAGTCTATCTGGGCCGTTCTATATTCAACTGGACACGAATACCCAGAACATAAAGTAGAAGATTCATGTCATCTACCAATTAAGCGCCAAAGGAAGTCTCAAGTCGCACTCATTACAACAATGAAAATTGACAAAAAGAAACAAGATAAATTGACCCAAAAAAGAGTTAAATAAATGCATTAAATTTAAAGGGAAAAAACATACTTGCTTTCTCAATCGGCTTTTTCTTGCAGCCTCACGATTTTGAGCAAGTCTACGCAGAGTCTGTAGAATATCATCAATAAAAGATCACCAATACGACCATTTTATTGCTCAGCTATTATCCATGCAAATAACTCAAACTATCTGACCTTTTGATCCAAATTACTCTTTGATCGATCACTAGAATCAGAAGGCCCAACAGCATTAGATTTTTCTTCATCAAACTGCAGAGAAGCAAGAAAAATGTCAGACTGGCAACAACATTGATTACCCTGAGTCTTTTCCCAGCAAGTAGAATAACAACAATGACAACAAACAAAACCTTGTCCCACTACATGATCTTGGCTGCATGGATTATATCACACAAATGTGCTCTACATGGGACCATATTCCAAGTAAGATTAGTAAGAGCAAGGTTCTTTGCTATGTGTTCCTTCCATATTTTCTTAGGTCTTCCCTTCCCTTTTGGCACATGCATATTCAATTAAATCGCATCTTACTGTAGTATATTCCAGCATTTTGATAGTGCTACATATAAATGCATTCCTAAATCTAAAGAAGAGCTTTAAGTAGTAACAACAGTACCATCTAAAAGATCCTAAAAAATTATTAAACTAGTGTTGAAACATGGAGAGGGCAAATGAAATAAAATATACCCTCTGATATTTTTCATCTGTGTCTGCATCTGTTGAGATATCGGTCCTTGGACTAGCATCAGCCATATTGGATTCTCCCCAGTTTTCTGTATTACGACTAGTTACAGAGACCAGATTTGTTCGTTGACCTTTTTCTAACTGCAACCTTTGAGATTCAACTTGGGTGGCGGATGGATTAACAGTAAATGATGTTGGAGTCTGTTTCAGGCAACAAGGAGAATAAAATTATATAACTAAGCATTACAACTAAAATAGTAGCTCATTACATGATAAGACCAACAAAATCCACCTTATCCGAAGTGCCGATAAGGTTGCAATCAGAAGGAAATGGTAGGCCACTTGCTTTTGCTGAATTAAACACACTGTCTGCATTGCCACATGTCATGTCAAATTCTTCATAGATATATAAGGACAAGTTTTCCACTCATTATCATATTTCTTTGCTGGAAAATTTATCAGAATATTAGTTGAATAGTAATGATTAACATGTGTGAAGCCAAGATAAAGGTTTGCCTTACACACCATAAATCCTAAAAGCTGTGAAATGAAACCATATTCAGGTTTAAAATATTTTAGTTATATTGCTAAAAACAACACAATAATTTTCTTAATGCAAAAACTTAGCAATTCATCACTTTCACTGTAGAAATTTCTTGTTGGAAAATTTTCCATAAAATTACAAAAAGTTGTCCGTTAAAAAATATAAGATGCAATAAGGAGAAGAAGCATACTATGTTGCACATTGATACCAGCAAAAGGAGATTACTTAAAAACAAGCTGATGATCAATAGCTTCACCACCCATGAAAAATACTGGTGCAGCCACCAAAAAATACACATGCTATTACATTTTACCATTCATGGGGCATATCACATTTATGCAATTTATTTTCCTAAAAGAACATGCTCGCACCATTACATACTACTATTCATGGGGCATATTAGATGTACATAATATTTTCCTATAATAACTCAACATTTCAAAAAGGATTGCTTCAATTCTGAATTTTGAAGATTATCTTACTCAATTAAAGATTATATTACTGAATGCATACTTCCACTCAGGTTAACAGCAAATCCAACTGAAAATCAGAATTCACCATGATGTAAGTAATCAGAAATGCAATGACAGGCAAGACAACAGCATGAACATCTAATTAGTGCTTTATTTTATTTTATAAGCATCAGAAAATAACAGTGCAGTAATTAGGTTTGTATTGCACGGGAAAAATTACTTAAGGCACATCAGAACATTATACTGGTACCAAACAATACCATCACACATCCAATTCACAGTTGGAGAGAGAGAGAAAGAGAGATAAAGAAGCTAGGGTTTTGGGAGGGGATTTTAGTCAACCCTCAAATCTGGGTTAGCAGATCCATTGTTCTGAAATAACTTCAGTGAAACACATCACTCTATTGCAATATAGTTCTTATCCTAAAAAAGACTCCTTTTCATGGCAATCGCGAACAGCCAAACATCTCCAACTACCAAAGCACTAATTATCTACTCTCCCTTGCTATGAATCAAAAGAAAAACCAATCAATTGAACGTTTGAAACTACCATGTTAAGATATGGTGTTCAATTAAAAATCAGACTAATGAAATAATATTTTAGATGAACAGAAGTTTTATTCTATGAACTCCAATGAAACTTACAGGTAACAACATTTGGATATATAATAGATGATACCAAGAAGATAAAGGCGATTGAAAATAAGAAGACAAAATATAACTGCAAAATTGACAATTTTAAAGGACAAGGGATGGAAGTGAACCATAAGTTGACAGAAGATTGAATATTGAAAAGAGTAAAGAGGGAATTTACAGTGAGTTGCTAACTGGTAATTGTCTATCAAAGCTCGGCATCCCTTTTGCTGTTTTCTTCTCATCTTTTGCACCAGATCTCACTGTTCTACCGTCCATACATCATGATTGTACTTTCCTTAAAACCCCTCAAACAAATTAAAACTCCCAACACTAAGTGTGAGAAGAACTGCAAGAAGTATCATCATCTTCCCTCAGTAAAGATAATAATAGAGAAAATACAAAGGAAAAAAATAAACGGAGGCAAACACTATCAACAATGAATCCCAAAGAAACCAGATACAAGTAATTAGAAGAGTAAATCCCTGTCAACTGTCAAACAATTAAAAAAGCATAGAACCCTAAATTTGCAGGCATCAGAGAGCACTAAGCAGTGCTGTTTCCATAATAACGCCCAATTGCACTCCAATAAACAACCAAAGAATGCCAAGCACACTACAAAAGAAATTACGTAGGGCTAAAAAATAATGATTGCAGAAGCTAAAAATAATTTCAATCATGTTATAGACAGCAAACTACCAATTCCCAAGTCAGCCAAAATTACCTACCAGATGAAACTAACAAAAGAACACAGAGAAAGTATAAACCCTTGTCTAGAGAAGCCTTTCAAATCATGTTCATCTTATTTAGGTTCAGATACACAACCAACCAACAATAAACAAAAGAGAATCTCAACAAGAACATGGACAGCCCAGCATTCTTACAGAAGGATTGCTCAGTTGGTTAACAAAAAGAGTAACCAAATTTTTAGCATCTTTAAGACACCAGTCCTACTATTCCACAATCAAAATTTTGACATAACTAAGGGCGAACCAGACAAGTGAAAGAAGAGAGGTATGAAAAGTTATAAATAAGTGACCTAATCAAGTTTAAAAAAAAAATACACCTCAATACCAAACTCTTTGCCATTATAATAGTACATAAATTCAACAGTCAAAAACACCTGAAATAAAAGTAACACAAACTGCAACATGGAAGATGTTGACATTTTCAAAGACAATCTGAGTCTCACATATTCTAAGAAGGAGCAGATCATGATTGCAAAGGAGGACTATCCAAAGGTGAATATGCCAGCCAAGAATACAAACCCCAAAGTTCAGAAGCTTCGATAGATTAAATTTAAAACTTTCTGCTCAGCAATGCCATAGAACAAGCAGAAATCCTAAAAACAGCAGATCTAAATAGCAGTAGCTGACAATTTAGAAGCCTCTATTAAAGCAAAACTTCATAAAACCTACTTGAAGGATATTTGAAGATAAATTCAAATTTTCTCAAAACACATAACCATGTTTGACAACAAACTAAGATCAAAAGCAGACTTCAAAACCCTCAAGATTCAGTAGCTATCTACAAACAATCCAAAAAGTCCCAATATCCACCACATAAATTTGCACCGGCACTAATGCCATGTAAACAAAGTTATAGAAAAACATCTTAAAATCCCTAAAAGAAATAACTTTGAAAAAGAAGTATACAAATTGGACACCAGCTTTCGAAAACCAGTATTTTATCCGACCCTTAAGTTTTAACAACCCAAATTTTCAAAACATAAAAAAAAAAAAAAAGAAAAAACAGTGTAAAATTAAAAAAGAGCCAAATTTGCACAACCTTAAAATACCCAGAAGCCAAAATCAATCAAAAACACCAAAGAAAACCCATATTAAACAAGCCTTTAAAGATCCAAATTGACCTACCCAACAAAAAGCACGCAACTTTAACACAAAAACACCAATAACCAGTAACCAAAATCTATAGTGAAACATCAAAATGGCAAAAAGCAACAATTTTCAACTTCCAAGCTCACCAAAAAAAAAATCAAAAATTTCAACTCAGTCACCTACGAGTTTTTTATTTTCCTAACTGAAAAAGTAAAAATTAGTTAACTTTCATAATAATAATTGAAACCGATTACTTTAAAACAGCAAAATTTGAAAGTTAAGAACCAGATACCTCACCTAGTGAAATTTTGAGGATGATGACGAAGAAATTGAATTTTTGAAATTATATTAGTATTACTTGGATAATGATATTCCAATCTCGAGACGTCTTCTTTTGTGAGAAATCTTTCCACTTTCCAAGAATAAATTATTTTTTAATTGGTTTTTTGTTTTGGTACTTTTTAGTGGGTTTGACATGAATTTTTTTATGTTTTTGTTTTGGTTTTTTGTGTAACCTTTTTCTGTGCCAGATACTGACATAGTAACAATACAGCCAATCTTTGCTGAACTGTTGGGTAAGAAATGGCTTTGGCCTTTTTCTTCTGTTTAAATCTCCTAGCAGTAGTTGGGATGTGTTTTTCGTTTTTTAGGCAATGTATTTTTTTTTTAAAATATACTTTCTCATTCAAATTATTATAGTAATTTCATAAAAACTATATATTAATGCTCTTTGATCTACCATTTTTCTTCTACCTATTTTTTTAGGTTGAGTTATTATTTTATAAGTTTAATTGAATTATTAACTTATAAGTTCAAGATAAGTTATTTGTTATAGATTCCTACTATGACTACTATGACTACTTTTATGAGAATAAATTTGCTGAAAATTAAGCCATAATTTATCTTAGAATTGAGTTTTTAACTGTCCTTGTCTTTTGGCGTTGAAACAACCTTGGTATGTCTTTTAGGCTCTTTTATTTATTTATTTTTGGTGATGATTGCTAATGCATGCAATTAATACACTACCATTAATAGTTCATTTTTGCATATTTGTTTTTTTTTAGATACCTCTGTTGGATTACACCTAAACATGGATTGAAAATGTTCATCTTCTGCTAGTACATCTTTTCTTTACTAGGCACCTTTGAAAGTCTTAACTATAATGCTGGAGAAGGCTTTAGTTAAGCATTAAATAAAGGTTACAAGTCATGTTACTAAGACTAATGTAGATATAGAACTTAAAGAAATTTACTTCTTGATAATGCAATTTCTATCAATTGGCCCTTGCCAGAGATTTTTTAAATAGTTATCAAATGAACTTTTGGAACATCAACTTTTACCTAGAAAATATCATGCTTGGTTTTTGAGAACTGGTGCACATAATGGGAACAATGATGATAATGGCATTTTCTTCCCTTTAAGTTATAACAACTTAGTGACGGAGCATCATCGAAATCTAGGGATTTGGATAAACTTGGCCGGTGTTCATTTATCATCTCAGAGGAAAGGTTAGAGAATTTTTTTTAAAGAGAAAAAAAAAAAAGAAAAATGAAGGAAAAGAAAAGAATTGGGAGTTTATCTAAGACTAAAACTGTACCATTTTGAGAGCAAAGTTAGTTGGGTCATTTGACCTATTCTGAAATCCACGACCTGACCCATCTATTAGTTCAACCCAATTCACAGCTCATTCCCTATTTTGGTGGCCCATCCTTTCTTTTATGAGTTCAAATTCAAGTACATTTTTATTATATCTTCTTCCTATTACATGTATGTTTGTATTTATTTAAATTAGATATGTGTTTAATTAGTTTTAATTAGTGTTAATATTGTGAGACAAGTCAATTAAGTTAAAATGTAAATTTAATTTTTTGTGTATTATTACATATTTTTGTATTACTAAAAAATTCAAAAGTGTAGTAAGTAAATAGATGAAAGTCTAATAATAATCAAGAATATTTTATTTTTAGAAATTTGTAAGTAAAATGTTCTTTCCTAAATATTTCTTGATGGTGGAAATTAATTTAGATGAAAATTCAATAATAATATTTGTCATTTGTTTTTGGTTAATAATAAAATTAACAACCTTATAATTTTTTTAAAATAAATGAAAATTATCCAAATGATGAAATTCTAGAAATCAAGAATTATTGAATTTCTAAAATTTTTTTAAAAAGAAAAATATTTCTAGAATGGGGGAGAATATTGATAAAATTTTTTATACAATAAAAACTAGAAATAAATCTTATCAAAATAAAGAATAAATTTTGAGAATGAAATTTTTAATAATCGCAAATAGATGATCATCTAAGAAATTTTTAGGTAAAAAAATATTTATAAATTTGTTTCAAATAGTGAAAAATTTAGATATGGTTTCGATAAATGATTTTTTAAAGCAAAGATTTAATAAAAAAATAAATCCGATGATGAAGTCTTTTCAAGTGAATGAATGGGTTCTTTAAACACTCATGATGTGTGAAAAATTTTAGGAATACCATAGAATAATAACGAAAACCTAAAATTTTTTCCTATATGTAAATGTTTAAATTCAGTAGAATTTAAAGACCATTTAGTTAAAAACTTTAGGATAATTTAGGACTAAATGGCACTATTTTATAATGGATGTTGTGGAGGTGTTATAACATTTTCTATACGTAATTGAATTCTCAAACTTAATTCTGAAACATAAAACCAAAATCTATTCTTTTAGAAACCCTTAGTAATGTTTAGGAATTTCTCGAAGTGTTGGCAAATCGGAGGTTGGTCGTATCCATGAACTCCATGTACTCGATGCCGTGGGCTATTATGTGTACTAAATGCATTATAAAGTTAGGGTATACACCTTTCTAACAGTAATTACTTATAAGAGAGTTGGTAGTGCCTGAGGTCCTAAAAGATGTTGTTAGCCTTGAATTGATAATAGTTTTTGAATTGACAAAACAAAAATTGTCTAACTTGAATCAAATTTATTTCTCAAATTAAACATATTTCCAACCTTTTATCTTGCAAAAAAATTTTTTTGAACCAAAACATAACATGTTCTGGAAACAAAAATGAACTTTGGACAATTTGGGATAGATGGGATTGATCCCTTCCCATGACTTGATCGATCCTATGGCTAAAGAGATTAGTTCATTTTTTTTAGTAGCCTATCTCATGCAAGTTTTTTAAGAATCAATCGATCCCTTCCCTATAAGGATCGATTGGCTAGGTTTTCTAAGTGAACCTATCATAACGTCTAGATCTGGGGATCTATCGCTAGACATTGACTTAAGGAGTCACCACCAATCTTTTTTATCTAGGTGTGATTGACCACCTAAGGAATCTATCCTTTCAAGGAATACCTAAGTTAAGGGTCTCTAAAAGAATAAGTTCAGGTCTACTAACCAGAACAGGGTTCGGGAGTTCGGTTACGTGTGAGAAAAGTTATAACACCCTCACAATGCCCATCAAAAGATGGTACCAGCTTAATTTTGTGTTATCCAATAAGCCTTAAAATTTTATCAAGTAATTAATTATTGGAAATTATTCTCAATTGACTTTAATACTTTTAGCAGAAAATTGAGAAAATCCCCTCACCTCAAGAGTATGTAAGAAAACTATTGTTTCACTTGTAGAGGCTCCATCGTTGGATTATTTAAGATTAAAGAAAATTCAAGAAAAAAAAGGAAAAAAAACGATTGCTTTTGTATAGAAAAAATTGAGAGTTTCAATTTTTTTCCAAAATATTTTTTAGAAACTTTAATTTCAAGAAAAATTGATACTTTCAATTTTTTTTAAAAAAATCAACTTTTGAAAACTTATTTTTAAGAAAAATTGATATCTTCAACTTTTCCTCAAAAAAAAATTTTTGAAAACTTATTTTTTAAGGAAAATTGCTACCTTCAACTTTTCCCAAAAAATATATTTTTTTAGAAAGCTTATTTTCAAGGAAAATTGATACTTTCAACTTTCCTTAAAAATATTTTTTTGAATTTTATTTAAAGAAAATAAAATAAAATAAAATAAAAAATATTAAACAATTCTAATTTAATCAATAAATAATAATAATAATAAATAAATAAATAATAAATAATAAAAAAAATATGGAAACGGCTCGACTTAGCTGCTTGGCTCTACGCGGCTTGAGGAAGAAAAGATGGCTCAAATACGTAACTCGGCTCGAATCAGCTCGATTTCAGAAACGGCTCGCACTCGGGTTAAATGCTGGTCGAAAACGGGTTGACGCTTGGGTTGGGTCACTCAACTTCAAAACGCATGGATCCTCTGGGCATAGTAACGCCAAAACGACATCGTTTTCAGCGAGTATAAAAGGCTATCCCTTCTGTTTTTTCAGCAGACCTCTCCTACTCTCTCTCTTTTTTCCCTTTTTTTTCTCTCCCTTCTCTTTAAACCAACAAAGAACTCCGATTGAATATCGTCGGATTCTGAAAATTTTCATTGAAATTTGGGTTTTTCGTCGGAAGTTCATCGAAAAACTGATCAATTTCTAGAAATAGTCACTGAAAATTGGGAAGCTGGCCGAAAAATTCAAACTTCGTCAAAAAATTCAACCGAAATCTGAAAATTTTTCAAAAATTTTCAGAAAAAAATTTGCCAAAAATTCTAAAAAATTCCCACCAATTCCTAAAGCTATTCTAACGTACAAAACCCGTTTTTAGCTTCTATTTTTTTTTGTATCTGCTTTTTTTGTGTCTTTTCAACACCTATTTATAGGAATTGATCAAAAGAGTTTCTGATCAATCTCAATTTCCTCTGAGATTTGGATTCAATCTTTGAATCCAATCCCAACTCTGTTAGCCCCAAATTTTTGTCAGAATTCTAGTCTTTCTAATCCTAATCCCAATCGGGATTCAACCAAGAAAAAATAAAATAAATATTAATAGATAAATGATAATATGTAAATAGATAAATAATAATAATAGGTAAATGATAATATATAATAGATATATAAACAGATAAGTAATAAAAAAATATAGTAATAATAGATAAATAAATAATAAATAAATAGATAAAATACAAAATATAAAAAAATAAAAATAAAATAAAATAAAACAAACGAGAATGGGCTTACCCATTTAGACCAGGCCCAATTGATCCAGGCCTGGACCAAATTGAGTGTCTATAGCTGCCTCTCTTTGCACATTTTTTGTGAAATAAAAATTGCGCAAAGATGTAGACACCTATTCAAAACTCCATTCGACCTCTTTTTTCATTTTTTTTGTGTTAAAATTTTGATCAAAACTCCTCTAAGCAGAGGTTCAATGACATAAACAAAGCTCTTCTAATCAAATTGCTTAACAACTTTGAAAATAAATAAAGCTCCTCTAATAAGAAATCAAAGGCTCAATGACTTTGAAAGATAAATAAAGCTCTTCTAATCAGAGGCTCAATAACTTTGAAAATAAATAAACAAAGCTCTTATAATCAGAGGCTCAACAACTTTGAACATAAATGGCTTATCTAATCAGAGGCTCAACAACTTTGGAAAATAAATAAATTCTTTAAGCAGAAGCACCATGACTTCAAAAATAAATGCTCCTTTAAATAGAGGCACCACAA